GTTGTCCAGTATCTCTGTGTTTTCAAATAGGATTTTGTGTCCAGTGTGCTTGAGAGCATGTTCAGCTACTGCTGAAATATAAGTTTTGCTCCAGTTTTAAAAAGAAGTACAAAAAGCTACATTCCCATTCCACTAAACCATTGCAGGCTTATCCAGTCAATATTTCAAGGTGACTAAAAAGTGAGCCCTAAGAGAACATTTTTACATTATGTTCCCAAGATTTCTTCCCAAAGGAAAACAAGAGAGAAAAGAATCAGACACAATGTTGGTTAAAATATAGCTATTAGTCAATTAAGATTTGTATGATACCAGAAAATGCAGTTGGTTACTGAAATTGGAGCAGGCATCATTAAAATGTATTTATTGTTATTACAAGTTCTGAATTAAACAATTAACATTTGATAGGCGTCTCCCTGAATATTTATTCCAAAGTTAAGTACATCTGTTGAAAAGCACCTAGAGATGCTGTCTGCTACAAAGCCTTGTTGTCGTTGCGAAAGTGCACACTTGCAGATTGCAGAGTAAAACAGCAAAGAGGAAATTTTCTGAGCACCAGATACAAGGCGTTGAGCTTGTCAAAAATGAGTATTAATGCTGAGGTTTCAAATAAGAAAGTAATAAGAAACTTGAGAAATAGCACTGATCCTAAATCAACTGAATTGATTTATAGGAATCTGTTAGACACTGATTGGATCAAAGGTCCCCAGTCTCTCATGGGACAGCTTTAGCAACCCAGTTCAGGATTAAATCAGTTCAGAAAATTGGCAGACAAACATTAATGTCTGCCAATTTTATTTCAGAGACCTCCCTAGACTTTGCCAGCTGTCCAATTTACAGATATATAGATCAGGCAATGTTTCTTTTAACCCGGTATTTCTCAACCTTGGCAACTTGAAGATGTGTGGACTTCAACTCCCAGAATTCCCCCCCCCCCACCGCGGGCGTTGGGGTTGAGTGGGGGGTTTATGACCCACACACCTCCACGGGTGTGGTATGCGACAG